CAAGCCACTGCAATTCAAGGCTAAAATTAATTGAATGATGCAACATTTCTTTTCTTGCATCCTTATTTACCGTACATGCCTCCTAGAAGCCATGCAAAGTGGGCTGGCCTCTAATTCTCCAAATTGATCTCTTCCTTTAGTGGTGTCTGGGAGAATGCTTACATGTACACACACACCCCTCAGCTGGGTGTCCATTGTTCTCCGCTCTAGAAGGCATGATATCTCCCCTCAGGGGCAGGTTTGATGGACATATCAGCCCAGCAGAGCCCTAACTTTTCCATTACGAGGCCATCATGGGGCTCTCCTACAGAGATACGGCCAATGTCATAGGGAAAATACAGTTCCCATGCAGACTGGACTGGGCACCCCACCCCTGTCTACTACAGCCTGTGGAAGAGCACCTGGCCTCTGTCTAGCAGAATATCCTTTCTCCCCTCCCCCCTTCCAATCTCCCAGGGTGCAGAGTGGACCTAGAAGGGACTCTTCCCCCTCCAGTCTTCCATTCTAGCTGCCATATCCTTAAACTGTCACCGCCCCTCCTGTGAGAGGCACCGGGTGATTCTTGGCGGAAAGAGATGGTTTATGGCCACGGCTCTACTGGTTTTTCCGCGGCTCTATTTCATCCTGACTGCAGTTGCTGCTGCAGTGGTGGCTGGTAGAAGGCGAGTCTCAGCCTCAGGTAGTTAATCCACAGTGAGGTCCCTGGGTACCTGCAGCAAGGCTAATGACTGCCTGCTTGGAGAAGCAGGGGAGCAGTGGCAGAAGAAGCCACTGCAGGGAGGGTGCCCAGGGATCTGGACCTGGAGGCAGGTGGGGCTGGATGCGAGGTGCCTCGACTTGCTGGGTGACTTGAAGGAGTCTTTTCTCTGAGCTTCCTCAGAGGGTGGTGGTGGGATTTAAGGCAGAAGCAAGTGACAGGGTTGGCATGTTGTGCACAATCGATGATTTTTTTAAAAACCAGAGGCACTTAGGCGATTGTGGGATAAATAAATGGCTCTCAGTTTGACAATCCTGTTTATGACAACCCAGAGCCTTGCCTCCAGGGAGACATTCTTTCCAGAATAATGACAAAGGAGGGCTCTTCTCTTCTGCCCTGAATGCCAAGGAGGGGTTGCAGTTCCACTGAGCTCCAAGGAACTGTTTTCTGGAAACAAGTGTGAAAAGCACTCATGGACTCCCTGTCTTAGCCATCCCCAGGAGGCATAGGACCATCACTTAGCTGT